TCTAGAGACTTGAAATTGTAGTGCTCTTAGCTCCCGCGCAGATATCGATATCGACATCCTTTTTTTTTTTAGCAAATTGGGTAAATAATAAGATCTAGAGCCACCAAACATGATATGTTGCTTCTAGAATATTATAGATATTTCAAGTATCTTTCATATCATACCTATCGCCACCTCCCCGCTACCACCCCAGAGCTATAAATCAAGTTAATAACCCAACTTTTATTGCCAACCAATTTTAACCACAATTTAAATGCAATTGACTTTTTCAGAATACACAAATATTCTATGGTACAATAAGATATACTGTAGAAAATTTCATAAAGATCGGTTAAGAAAAACCAAAGTTATATGCAACTGCGCAATTGAATGGGGCAGCAGCTTTAAGAATTTCTGTATACATGTACACACACAAATTCATGCGCGTCTGCTTCGCATTTTAATAGCATGGTAATTGCATCTTTTTTTTTTGTAATGTTATTTTAGTTCCTTTTTTATCATAAGTACTTAATTGTTGGTGTGGCTGTTGAGTAGAGGCATAGCAAGTGGTGCGGTCTGTCGCGAGTTCGAGACCTGCCAAGGGAACTTTTTCTATTAATTTATTTGGTATTGGAATATGAGGGTTCAGGGTATCCCCTAGTCGGGAACTCCCGACTAGAACCTCTTACTTGTTTTTTTTTTTGTATATATGTTTTAACAAAAAAAAGCCCACCAAGATGCGATATTTATGAAGAAAAAAAGCCCAATTATATGCCTTTAAAAATATGGAGAGTAGAACGGTAAGATGTCAAATATTTCGTTGTTTATACTCTACGATAATCTAAACCAAATTTGGCACCAGGAGCTGCGAGATATGCTCAAGAAAGATTTCGATATAGATTATTTGATCGATTTTATGAAAGCGAGTCAAGTTATCGATAACTTTAAGCAAGCCTGATCTACGTTAACATTAGACCAAAGCACTGCATCTTTTTTCTTCACATTTTTTTTATACTTTTTAAAAATTGCATTCTCATCCAAACGAACATATTGAATTTAATCGCACACACATATTATACAATTTAACTGAATATTTTACAGCAGCAACTCGGTCCAAATGTCAATTTGTGTCATCGGTTGGGAACGCTGGCTGACAGCGAGCTACTTGAGCTATGGCAACGCTCAGTCTAATTAGAAATGTGTCATAAGGAAGCCGCAGTCAATGCCAAGACAATAGAAAAATGCCAGCCACAAAATTTTTGATTGACAAACGTCTGTCAGAGAAACGGGCAAAGAGCACTGAGGGACAGCAGGCGAATTGAGAGTCAGTCAAATGACAGCCACAGTTGCATCTTGAGGAATGGGATTCCAATGTACTCAGCAGAACAAATGGCTAACAAAAAGTGCATGCATTTGTTTGGAACAAAGGCTGAACAAACATAAGGTGCAACCATTAAATGAGAAAGCTGCATGGGTTGACATCATATGAAAGATAAAGGAAAAGATTAAATACGCTATAAGAAAATATGGCAAGGGTCAGGAGAATACCCTACCTGGTGCGATGTAGAAAAAAAATCTAAGCTGAAGTTCGGTCTATAAAATCAAACTCAAGCCCTTACATGACCCTTTTTGCTAGTCCCATATTAATAGCTGGTGATTATATATACAAAAATCTTTTATTTGTAACACAATTCAACAAAAATTCTGAATGCTGCATGTGTAGGGAAACCGTTAATAGCTGCTCGTGTAGTCATTTAATGAGCGCCCATTGTGCGAAATGTATCTAAAAGCAGTCACAACAAATGCTTGACAGCAGGCTTCAAGGGTTAATGTGGCAAGGGGCAAAGGGCAGCAATAGCACGCCTTAATAATGAGATGCACAACATGCACCTGAAAAGATCTCATCTTCATCTAATACTCCACCCACACACACAAACACACACACACACACACACACACGCACGCACGTACACACACACACAATTATGCAGCTGCCATTTTGAATCGTGTAAATTAGCAAAGCCGCCTCTTAAACGCACTTTGATGCAGCCCCTGCACCGACCCGGCGCACATTCTGCCCAACGGCACACAAAGCCTGTCACAAATGCAGCTAATGCTGATTATTCCTCTAGTTAACATAAGCGGCCAACAAAAGCCGCAAAAGCTGGCCCGCAGGCTTAATTAATAGCCAGGCCATGAAAATAGTCCAAACTTGACAGGTTTTTGGCCGCGTTTTTAATTAAGACTTACGTAAAACTAAAAATGGTTAGGAGAAAAAAAAACAAACAAACACAGGAAACAACTTAGATTACAACTTGTATTACGTGTGTGGCTAGTGTCGAGTACTTGGATTATATTTTTATTATGCAAGCGCATTCATTGGCCAATTTACGGGCATTGCGCCAACTTTTCACGCCTCAATGGAGCGCATCGTGTTTATAAACAATTTAAATAAAACAAAAAGTACAAATTAACTCAATAATAACAACAGCAGCTAGTCAAGTGCATTGGCAAAACAGAAATACATTTAAACTCGGCTTGAACTACTCTAATAACTAATGAATTGCTGATGATCTAAGAGAGTAAATGATTGTTCATCTTTACAAAACCCTTTCAAATGCCAAATAAATAAGGGTAAAACACCTTTTGAAACCCATTTTGTAATCAAGGCGAGAACATGCATCCTGTGGGCCGCTTTCTCTAATGCAAGGGTGGACCCCTTCCCCTCGGACTACAACGTTGCGAAACAGAGAATATGACTTAAACAAACTAAATGATTTCGCGGCCTTGCCCACAATAAATTTAGTGCATCAAATCGCATTTCCACCCTTTCCACAAACCAATGCCTCCATTTTCACCAAAAGAAGTGAAAAGAAAAATGCAAGGGAAATGCGTTTAAATCCGCTCTGTTGCTAAACAAAAAGGGGTTTCCGCGATTTTTCCACACTTGCATGTGGAATTTTCAAAAACCCACGCCTTATCATAAACCTAAATCACTTAAGATAACCACATAAAGTCCCGGTCTGTTCACCAGTCAATCAGTCAATCAGACAGTGAATCAGCAAACATGCTTTAAATCAATCTGTCAGCCAGTCAATTAATTATTCAATCAGGCAGTCAGTCAATCCATCAACTGATCAGTCAGTCAATTAATCAATCAATCAGTCAATTGATCAATCATTCAGTCGTCAGTCAATCAATTAATCAATCAATTAATCCATTTTTCAATCAATCAGTAAGTTTGAGCCAATTGCTTACAAACTTATTAACATAGTGTACATGCCCTAACCGCGCTAGCGTATACACACAACACAACAATTGAGAAGGTTAAATAAATAGTGTTTCGAGGTATGTTTTATGCAAACAATGCCGAGCCTCTGCAAGGTTGCGCCTCAATTATTGTAGCAGAATACAAGAAAAAAGAGTTTCCCTCCAAAAATGAAAAAACAGACTATAGAAGTCAGATTTCAGACTTGTCTAGCGTGTAGTGTATCCATATAGAATAACTCGAACTCTATCAATCGCTCAGATTTTATCATTAATAACAGTTGCTACACAAAAAACAATGAAGTTGACTCCTTTACACGACAGCAATAAAAAACCATTAAATATCACTTTTCATAGCGCTGAATTTATTATTTTATAGATGGAAAACTATTCGTTCATTCGATGCAGACGATGGCAAAAAACTAGACACAATTTCTGGCTAAATGTAGCGTAAATAAAAAAAAGACCCCGAAAACAAGGGTTAAGGGGAGCGAAGAGGGGGGATGATAGCGATATGGAGTGTGCCCACAAATTTGGCGATAGTTGATTGCGTGTCACACGCAAGAAAGGGGCAAGTGGGCAGGGGGGAGGAGGGGCAGAGGAGCATTAGCAGCAACAGTAGGGTGCACAGGTTGGGTTTTTATGAAAGCAAAAATATATATTTTTATATATATGTATATATATATATATATATTTTTTATATATATATTGAACTGCGACGAGCACCAAGAGCTACGTCAAAGTGGAGAGGGAGGGAGTTACCAGCGCACCGGTGCATTGAAGAATATGGCAACGCTATTAAAATTCACTGAGCTGGAATACAGGCAATAGGGGGAGGTAGGGACATGGGAGGGACTAGGTGATGCCAAATGTAGCTGAACCATCAGCCTGTGATATGTATATGTCGAGTACGGACGGGAGCGAGGAGCGAGGAGGCCCGCATTGAAATCTATGACTGCCTGTCGCCAGTTTATATGGGCAACGCCACGCCCAGATGAACATGAAAGCGGGGAGAGGGAGGCACACACATAAAAGAACAGAGAAAGAAAAAATACCAAATGAAGTCGCTTGACAACTGAATGCAACGGACGTTGATTGCCTGGTGCCGGCATTAATTATTTACAATATGGCAGGGGTACGAGAATGTGTTGCAGATATGGCAACACTGGCAGCGCACAAAAGTATGCAATTAGCATTTGGCGTGATTGTTTTTTATTTCCCCTTTTTTTTTGCCCCTCCCCCTCAGTTTTGATGTTGATTAGGGTTTGCATTTCGCAGCGAAACTGGGCCAATTGTTGTCCACATTGATTGACATTTGTGCGAGTAATTGGCGCAATTTGCAAGCAAAAACTAAAAATAATAAAAAGTTACTAAAAGTAGCGAAAAGTACTCGACTAAATACCCAGCACATCATCTACAGTTTGACACAAAAAACTACTACCAAAAATACTACAGAATACTAAAATTACTATAAACTAATATAAATATACGATAAAAATACAATAAAACTTTATAAAAATACCCTACAAATTACTTTCACTTTAAAACATTAGTCTTCTTTAAATTCTAGAGAAGGTCCGAGAACGATAAATTCATTCCTTAAGCCACATTCCAAAACATCAAACGAAACTTGTTCCAAAGTAAGTATATTTGTAAAATTGATTATAAATGCTTGAAGAAAAGCGTGTTAAATTCTACAAAACCATATTAGATAAGGCTCAATGCTTCTCAATATAAAGCTATGGCTTATAGAAGCCACAATGTAGACACCTTTAAAATCTTGCTGAAACTTTATCAACTATATCAAAGGGCACACATTTTTAGTGTATTTGGTGAGAGTTTTGAGTACCTTCGAGTGCATATTTCAAATAAATAAATACAATTAGGATCTATTCACACTCAAGTCCAAGTATTGATTTCCCGCCTTAACAAATGTCAACTTTTGCAACGCTTTTAACTTTTGCCTTTGCCAACTTTCAACTCCCAAAAACCCCAAAACAACCCAACAGCTCACCCAAAACTGTCAACATTTTATCAACTGTTTAGCTGTGTGTGTGTATGTGTGTGGGTGTGTCTAGATGTGCGTGTGTGGTTATGGAATCTTTGCTTGGGTCGCTTCCATCTAAAATTCAATGAAAAACTTTAGCACACATTTAAAGTAACCATGTAAGCACTTTTCCCACACACACACAACCACATACATGATCCATTATATACATGTGCAGCGAGAATCTGCTCGAGCCCAGTACTGTGGCTTTTTTCAGTCAGTACTTAACATGCTTTTAGTTTCAGTTAAGCTTTCTGAACAACAAATGAGTAACATCCAGAATCCACACTCTACCAAAGCGGGGTGAAAAAGGGTTTGAACGGGGGAATGATGGGGTGGCGGATTACCGCACGCCCCTTCCACAAGAAAGCCAACAAATTTGTTAAGCCGGCAAGCAAGGCGTAGCTGTGGGCTGTTGTGGTTAACCGTTTGCTAATGAGCCAATTTAAATTTACGGCTCAGTGGCGTCATCTAGCCGGAACCCAGCTCTAACTAGGTGCTGCTCCTAAAGCTGCCACCTGACAAAGGCAGTTCTTTTCGCTAAAATTTCTTTTTTTATATTCATTTCTTGACAGATCTGTCGCAACTTCTCAACTCAAAGTGAAAAGCGCAGCGGCCAGCACAGAGCCAAGTGGCATGGAAAATGAAATGCGCAACAACTGTGGCCGGGCCCTCAAGTCTGCAGCTGAAAGCTGAGGCGCGCTTTGGAGCTGCTTAACAAATCTCGTGACAGCGCCCCAAAGTGGCCCCGAAACAAACAAACAAATGGTTAACAAGAACTGAGCCAAGTCATTGACAGACTGCGAAAGAAATAGGGAAAACCAAAAAAGAAAAACTACTTTATAAGCATGAAAGTCAATGGAAGTGCGAGCGAGTCGGCAAAAACGAAAAGTTGAGAAAAATATAATGCAGAGAAAGTAAAAACCGAGCAACTTCTTGCGTCTGGACGCTTAATTATGAAGCTTGTTAACTATTAATGAAAAAGTTGTTGTAAACCAGGGGCAAAAAATAAACTCATAAAAAAATAAAATAACAGACTAAAGTCGACAACCAGCCAAAAGAGTCGAAAGCGCCAAGTTCTTAACACAAGAGTTTTGATATGGCTTGCAAAAGAAAACATTTGTGCAGACATTTTAAAAACAACAGATTTAATTCAGATTATTCGAGAAATGATTTATTTATAGTGGGAGATATGATAAAGGAACTCTGTAGACTCTGATATAAGTTAGCTTAAGTCAAGTAGAGAATCAGATTGAAAGATATATTAATAATTTTTCAGGTATAGAGAATTAAAGAACTTCTATGCAGGGTTCTTACGATTAGTAGGAACTATTAGGCAAAATTTCTTTCAAATTAAATCTTTCAAATTAAATCAAGAGATCTTTAGAATATGAGTAGAAAAAGAAGCTGAAGGCTTTAACGGCAGGTCGCCGCCTCAAATTCGCAAGCTATTATTAGGCATGAAGTATAGGAAACTTAAATCAAGTATATTTTTATACCCTGAACCCATTAAAATTGGGTATAAGGGTATATTGTATTTGTGCAAAATTTAAATGTATGTAACAGGCAGAAGGAAGCATCTCCGACCCCATAAAGTTTATATATTCTTGATCAGCATCAATAGCCGAGTCGATCTAGCCATGTCCGTCTGTCTGTCCGTCCGTCCGTCCGTATGTATGAACGCAAGGATCTCATAACCTATAAGAGCTTGAAATTTTAGATGTAGGTGCTCCTAGTTCCCGCGCAGATCGAGTTTGTCCGATAATCGATAACTTGCACCGTTTCCAAGCAATCGATAAAAATCGATATCGATATCCTGTTTTTCGGGCGATTTTGGTAAATAATAGAGTCACAAAACTTGACATATAGCTTCTAAAATAGAATACATATATGCATTTGATGTTGGAAGAAGAGGGTTCAGGGTATACCCTAGTCGGGAGCTCCCAACTAGAACCTCTTGTTATTATTTTATATATGTATTATTTTGAACTAAAATATTTCAAGCCCTCAAACATATGAAAACAGATTTCCTAAAAGATTAACCATAGGCAGGTCAAGGGTTCAAATTCAGCAGCAATTAAGCAAGAAGTTTAGGGAGCAAAGAAAATGTTAATATTCGAACTCAATAAAGGATTCCTAAAAGACCTAAGTATTTTCCATAGGCTTTATCATAAAATTAATGATTAACTATATAAAATATAATATTTTAATAGTTTATTATTTTCAAATCGAGCGACTACTTAACCTTAGTCTCCTCTCCAGCCCCCCACATGCAATACAAATGAGCAAGCAAATGAATTATGGAGATAAGGGGTGAGAGTGAGGACGAGTGGGGAATTAGGGTTAGTAAGAGGACAGTTGGCAGTTTTTCATGGATTTTGGGTAACTTTAGTAAATAATTTGGCTTTAATTAACTTGCTGACATCATTAGAGCCGGCAAGCAGGCAAATGGCAACAGTTTGTCAGGCAGACGAACCATTTGTCTCGCCTCACGGAAACTGTGTGCAGGAACAGGAATCGCCGTGAATACCCGAAGTTCTAGCATATTGACAGAATATTCCCCGCCCCAGCGAGAAATTCTCTCCGCTTGTGTGTCGGTGTGTGTGTTAATTAAATAGAAAAATTAGAAAAAACTACGTCGTAAATTCCGTCGTCATGTAATACAACACCCTCCCCGGATGAACTTATCACACTCCAGGGCTACGGAATGGCAGTCGGGGTACGCTGTGGGCGTTGCCAGACATGCAAAGGACAAGAGGAAGTGCACGTCGGGGTGCACGGCAGTGTGGCCCCATGGTGTGAAATCATTTGACGACGTCGCCTCCACACGACGAAATTAATCAAATTAAGCTGCCCGCTTTCGGGCCCAGACACGATGTGATCCGACGCGACGGCTTGATTAGCCCATAAGTAGACAATGGCCATGGGATATTCGAAATTTCTCAGCAGGTTGGCAGCGCCATTTGTTGTTGCCTGTCATCGATGTGAGGTTAGAATGAAGCAAGTAATATTCGCAGCTAATTGAGCGTCATGTGGATTGTGGGGTTGCCAACTAAGTACCATTGTTAACTGGTTTGCAGAGGTCAGCTGGTGCTGCCAACTTGTTTTTAGAAAACGTCAAGAACTCTTGAGTAAGCTAAATGAGGTTGCACATAGGAATAAAGTGCTGCCCACTTGCTGTAAAAAACACGGCAGCTGTTGTAAATGCAGTGCTACCAAGCTGCTGAAAGCGTAGTGCTGCCCATTCACAGTGTTGCCAATTTACTTATTTTCTGGATCAATATGGATTTTTTCAGGGCTTGGCAATTCAAATTTTATATCGATTTAGCTTATTTTTTTTGTCAATTTGTGCTAAAAAAACAAATTCAAATATTTTTAGCTTAATTCCTTTGGATTCATTCACTTTTTTAAAGCGGCAGTTGGCAATACTGGTCGGGTATGGTATTCATATATAGCTAACAATAGACTTTTACAGATATTAACATCTTCTTAGGAAAGGCTAACCATTCAGCTTTGTTATTCACTTGGCCCACTTGGTCCGTAAGACATATCAATCCTAAAGCTATATAGTTGCCAGCTTGCTTTAAGCTAGACTTACATTTTTAGTAAAATGTGAAAGATGAACCCTTGCCTTTGAAGACAATTCTACTAAGCGCCGTTTGTTTGCTACAGCGTTGCCAACTTGCTCAAATAGACTTTTTTAATAAAGAGTTTTCAACTTGCTTTACAGTAAAAATTTCCTCTGCAGAACTCACAAGTTGATTGCTTTTACAGCATTGCCATCTTCCACTAAACTAGTAAAAGGCTAACTTTACAGCGAGTTGCACATTTTAGGCTGCCCTCTTATGTAATATCTCAAAAAATCAGCCTATATCGGAAAATTAAAATATCGCCCCAAATTGCGCAAGTTTAAATCATCGATTTGGATTTCTGGGCACTTTCACTGCATCATAAATTAGAAACTTGTGGGCAGCTTGTAGGCGTTCAAGTGCAGTCAAGCCAGAAAAATTAAATGCCAATCTTTTGGGCACCCACAAGACTTTCAAGAACCAAAAAAAAAGTTTATATATATATATATATATACATATATATATATATATATATATATATATATATATATATATATACATATATATACATATATATATATATATATATATATATATACATATATATATTTATGCTACAAATTGCATTTGGGGCGCCGCTTCGGTGCCCACACGCGACTGTCGCAAGGAAAACGACGCCGTTGACAGAGAAATGGGTCTGCAGGGCGGGGTTGGACCGATGTCCTGGCAACGACAAATGTTTCTGTTATCAGTGAACCATAATCACAAAGTGGTCTTAGGCGCTGTGCCTATGTGTGGGTGGGTTTGGTTGTGGCGCTGCTCGCTTCGCTTGACATTTGCCACCAATAAAGCCCAATTAGTGACGGCGGCCCCCGCCGAAATACGTCTCAGTAATTCGTTGAACGGCTTTCGGGTCTGTCATCTTTCAAGTTTGCGGGCACGCAAGCTAATTAGCAAGTGGCAAATAGTTGTCAACTGGAAAAGGCGTCTCTATTAATTAGTCGACCACTTGGCAAAACTTGCCAACCTTTTGTGTGTGAATACCGTGCATAATTTTGCCTCAAAATTGGGTGCTGCCAACTTGTCGCCTCGCATTGTGCATATTTCAATTATAATTTTTGATGAACTGCTAGCAATGCAAAGGATAAAATCATGATGTTAAAATTGCTGCCAATTTGTGGCAAATTTCTGGCGTTGTCAGCTCAGGCGAATTATTGAACTAGCGAAATGCTAGTTGATATTCTATTTGAACTTCGAAAGCAAAAATTTTCTTGTCTCAGCGTCTTAAAAAAAAAAAGGCTAGTGTTTGTTCATAGGTATCAAATAAAGCCCGCTTTTGTGGCGTTTTCCAACTTGAGCGCAACTTAACTCAAACCAGTTGAGATTTAGAAGAAATGTGTGACTTTGATTGCACTTTATGGCTGCAATTGAATTTACCCAAGTGGCATTATAATGTGGCGTGCGGCAAGTGGCAACTGCCACGCATAATTAATTACGCACATATTCGCGTGCTAATTAACGCTTAATTAATTGCAATTTTATATGGCAAAAGACAATGCAGCAGATGATGCATATGTCAACTGCTACGTTTTATTGATTCAAATGCAATTTTATGCAAATTTTTGCCCCAGCGCCAAGTACGCAGCTCGCACCACACGAACATTGAAAACAAATATTATAATTTGATTTATTTTCAAGTGCTGAAAATTCGGATTTGCTAATTTGTTGGCGAGAAATAAAAAACAACTAAACTATGCAAAAAAGTTATGTGTGTTGCAAAAAGTTGTTTTGCATAAATAAAATATTTTTTTATATAAAACGGCTACCTCAGCTGTCCTGTCCCGGCCTAAATAATTGCACAGCTCTTTAATGCGAAAATATTATAAATAAAATATTTTGCATATACATTATTCGAGTTGAAGCTTAATTTCTAACATCTCATGGAGTTTAAACAATAAGTATACAAGTGAATGTGGAGAATGTGAAGCATGTGAGGGAGGGTTACCTTTACCCAACACTAGGTGAGGATAATGCATTCCTTATTAAATTGGGTTTGTATGGTCTGTTTTTTATGACAGTTTTAGGGTTTAAATAGGGTATACAAAAGTGTGGGCATACCAAAGTGCAAAGTTTTAACTCTAACATGCGAGAGAAAAAGTCAAATATTCCTAGCTCTGTTTATATACGAACTTATAAAATTCAAGTTATTCCCAAGAAATCAAATGCTAAAATCTATATCGATACAAAAATGTTATGCCTGTTGCATACATTTGCACAAGAGCAATTAACTTTTCTGATAAAATCTCTTTTTTTCCTTTGTTAAAAATTCCTTTCAGCCACTTCGTCAGCTAATCTATTAACCAGCTTAAGCTAAAGCCGCACTGA